GGTCTCCATGGTAGCTGATGCTGACCTGGTCCAGGTCCTGCTCAGCGTCTCCCTTTAACTGGTTCCTGATGATGATGTTTTCTCTGTGAACCTGCTGATCTGGACGTTACTGAAACACTGAATGAAGCAGTTACAGCATCACACGCTGGAGGCATCCTGTTGCCATGGAAACCTACGTGTTCAGCTGCTGATGCAGAAATCACATCAACATGTTTCTGTGTTTGGTCCGTTTCATCTGCTGGTCCTGCAGCTGATAGATCACTGATCAGAACATTGATCATCTGTTGGTATTTATGACAGAGAACATCCAATCAGGAGCATTGATTCACTCTGATTTGTTGTTATTAAAGTGATTTCCTGCCTCATGGGACAGAGTCAGACCTGAGTGAGCTCCAGTACGACATCAGGGTTAAACAGATGAGGTTTAAAGTTAAACAGCTTTAATGTGCAGCTGTCAGTGATCAATAATCAGCTGCATTGATCAGGACCATCCATAGATGAACACATGGTGAGCAGGTCTCCAGCAGCATCCTGTCCTGCATCATTTACAGTAGCAGCTCTTTAAAGTCATAATTCTTTATGTTCCTCGTTGTTCTCATTAAAACAAGCTGCTGACTGAAGCAGGAGGAACGTGATTGGTCCGTTTAACTGCAGGAGAGTCACATGACAACTAAGAACGCTGATAAACACCTTCTGGTACCTGATACCTCTGCTGGGTTCAGGTTTTGTTGAGCCAATTTACAAAAGAAAGTCTGGATCTGTTGAAGCTGCTTCCTGGTTCCGCCTTCAGGTGAGTTCAGGTGAGTCAGTTACCTGTCTGCAGACATCAGTTTAACTCACAGTGAGTGAAGTGATGCTGCTCTGAAAGGTCAACTCTCTCATTGTGTTCATGTTTCTCCTCTGTTACACAAGGATAGCAAAACAACACAACATCTCTCAATAAACTTTGGTCGTGTCCCTCACCTGCAGACAGCTGAGGGACACGAAGAGTCTTACCTGGCAGACAGGTGAGGGACAGAGCAGACAGACAGCAGAGCAGCAGCTGAGCGGTCGTCATGGCGGCAGCAGCCTCTGTCCTGCAGACACCAGTCAGGGTTCCTCTGCATCATGTGACTCAGTGGAGCAGCCGAGAACCAATCAGCTTTCAGAGACACTAAAGGTCAAAGTGGCTGCTTTTAGAGTTCATTCATCCTAATGAGGAACAAACACACAACTGTACTGTCACTGTCCCTGCTGAAGGTACTTGGTGCCGAGGATGCGACCACAGCTCTTCCTCTGGTGGCACAGGGATCGAATGGCTGGTATCAGCAGCCCGGTACACCCACAGAGCCCCCTGGGGGACACGGTCGTAGGCTTTCTCCAAATCCACTAAACATCTGTGGACTGGCGAGTCGACTTCATGGCCTCCTCAGCAGCTCTGCAGGGTGAAGAGCTGCTCCATCGTTCCACAACCAGGACGTAATCATTGCTCCTCCTGAACCCGAGGTTCAACAGTCGGTCGGAGCCTCCAGCTCCCTGGAGTGAACTTTCCCAGGAGGCTGAGCAGTGTCACACCCTGACAGTTGGAGCTCACCCTCCGGTTCCCCATTTTAAAACCCAGAACCACCACTCGGTCTGAAGCTCCACAGGCACCGTGCCCGATGAAAAGATGTGTCAGCCAAGACAGTCCAACAGTGTCCAGAACCTTCAGCATCAGGATGAATCTCATCTCACCTGCTGCTTTGCCTCGAGGAGCTTCTTGACTACCTTGGCGACCTCTACCTCAGATATGGACAAAGTCTTCAGGCTCCACCTCCTCAGCAGAGGACCTGTTAACTGGGTGAAGTTCCTCGAGGTGCTCTTTCCACCCAACAGTGTCCCCAGTCCAGGTCAGGAGTTCTCCCCCAGACTGTGGTCATCCTGGCTCGAGACCCACCTCCCGTCCTGAGGCGTCTAACAGAGTGCCAGAACTTCTTTGAAGCCAACAAAAGTCCTTCTCCATAGCTTCTCTGAACTCCTCCCACACCTGAGTTGTAGCTTCTGCCACTGCCACAGCTGCTGCCCTTCTGGCCGACCGGTACCTGTCTGCTGCTTCAGGAGACCCCGAGCCAAACAGCAACTCCTTCTGGGTGCTGATGTTTGGTTGNAAAAAAACACACAAAACAGCCCAAATAAACACTCAACAACTGAAAACTGCCATGAAAAGATATGAAGGAGATCAAACTCGAAACAAAACAGCCATAATTTAGACAATACAACCAAAAACTGATGCAAAACAGCCAAAAGTAGAGGCTTAAACAACCAAAATAGAACAAAAACAATCAAAGATGGACACAAAGGAACCCAAAGTGATGTGAAGATACTGACGGCTGCTTGTGGTGATGCACAGCCGCACTTTGAATCCTCCTTCGGTTCTGCTGCAGTTGATGATCTCTGGTCTGCTGCAGCCCAGTTCCACGTAGCCCCGCCCCCGGCCACGCCCACCGACATTACAACCAAAACACTGCAGACAACCGCCTGCACACACACACACACATACACACACACACACACACTCAGTCAAACAGCAAGTCGAGGTTAGAAATCTCTCTTTATCTCTCTCTCTCTTTAACCTGATAGGTCTCCATGGTAACTGATGCTGTGGAGCT